GGTCTCACTCTTGCTCAGGCTGGTTTTGAACTCCTGACCTTGAGCAATCCACCCGCCTCGGCCTCCCAGAGGCTAGGATTACAGGCATGAGTGACCGTGCCTGGCCAATAGCACACATTCTATGTTGAAGGCTCCATGAAGAGAAAGCCCCTTCAAAAACTCAAAACATAGTGCTTGCTTAAGTGTTCATAATCTATCTGTTAATAGTTGGGGAAAATTATATACCCAAGAAACATCTTAAGAACATTTCAGAACAGCATATTGGTTAAGATTAGGGCAAATAAACCTCATATTAAGATGCATCAGCAGTTAGATGGGATGCATTAGACATGCTCTCTAAAAGAATTGACTGCTAAGTCTCTGTTTTGACAGAAATAATAGTCAATAGGTGCTGACAAATAAGTCACTTTTAACTAAGTCAGACATGGGTTGGGTGTTTCTGGATAGGAGTGAGGTATATGCACTTGGGCACAAGGATGTCAGGTGCGGCAGACCACTAGAATGCAAGCCATGGGTTGCCTCCTCCTCTGTCTCAGTTCTTGGCTCTACTGCCCCTACTAAGGGGAGCTCTTTTTTTCTACTCATATTGTGTTGATGTATTTAGAGCAAAACAGTGACAATTTATAAAACTTTATCCTGTTTTGTTTTTCTTATCAATGTTACTAGCTTTTTTAGTATTATTAATATTGAATAAATGATTTTTCAAGAAGTGGGATTGCTTACATGATCTTAGACTGCTCAGTGATTTTATTTCATATTTAGGATTTGAAAGATGAAAAGAAAAAGGCAAAAATGGCAGCAGCTAGGGCAGTTCTTGAAAAGTGTACAATGATGCTTCTCACAGCTTCAAAGGTAAGAAGATTTTTGGTTTTACTGTGTTATACAGTAATAAATAGAAAATCTGATTAAATGCATTTAATTTACATATTTTACATTTTAAAAAAGATCAAAGTGACAACTTAGAACATAGGCCCAAATAATCAAATCTCAGTTATTATTTACAAAGATGCTAAACTTTCTTCCCTAATTTCAAATGGTAGTTAATCTACGAGTCAGCTTGGATTAAGCAGCTAAGCAGAAGACAATATATTAGGTACTGTGAATCAAAGCCTGTCAGACACAGTCACTCACTGCAGCGTTTTGCTAGTTTCATTGAGGAGCCAGTATACATGCTCTAGAAAAAGCTAAGCAAGTTAGGACTGTTAAATAACATTAGAGTATGAAGTCAGCCCTTTGTTTAATTCTGTAAATTCATTTCTGTAATTTATTTTACTCTCAACAAAATTGTCAATCAAAAGTTTGTATTTCTAAACAGCAATTGGCCAGCAAATTGGTGTAATTCAAGAATGAACTATAATAGTAAATGTGTCATTAGCAATTTGTTTAGAATTGCCTTTTTGTTTTGAGAGTATTTACTCTATGCTAGGATCAGTGAAGCCACAAAAACAGAGACTTCCTGGAGCCCACTTGGAAGGCTCTGTTCTATGGAGGCCCTTGGGTAGTTTTTCATTTACATCCTTTTTTAAAAGTCAAAGATGCATCCACAGTCATATTTTATCTCTGTTTATTTTTCCTCCTTCTTTTTTAGTTCTTGAATATGTAAGGCAACATTTTAAAATAGTTTTAATCATGATGAAGAGATAGGGTTTTTTTCCCACAAAAATTTTATGTAACCTTATTATTGAAGTATAAAGGTATAGTTTTGCACTCTGCGTTTTTCACTTAACCTTGCTATCGCTTTTTACTCATCCTGCTTCCACTTTAGTGAGGAGAAGCAGCTGAGTGAGCCAGGGATCCAGGAGATTTTGGTAAAGAACCATTTTTATTAGCATGACATGTTCTCTGTAAGATTTTGTGCGTTATGATATGGATCAAATATTAAAATAAAAATTTTCAATTGTTTTGAAGACATGTCTCAGGCATCCTAGCTGTGAGTCAGCCCATAAAAACAAAGAAGGAGTATTTGACCGCATGAAAGTAGCATTAGATAAGGTCATTGAAATTGTGACTGACTGTAAACTGAATGGAGAGACTGACATTTCATCTATCAGTATTTTTACTGGAATTAAAGAATTCAAGGTAAGAATAAAGACAATATATTTTGATTTTTTTCTTTTCATGTTAAAAGAACATTATTATATATAGTGTTTATATTTTTGTGTAATGTTTTAGAATGATGCTTCAGAAGCAGATATATCTCTTTAAAGTAGTATCACTATGTACAAACCTAATGTTCAGCAATATTTGACTTAGTGTTATATTTACAAAGAATACTGGTCTTTGGTTATAGCAGTTACTGTGACCCTGTTTAGCTGTATGCTTGGCTGTAGCCTTCCCATTCCTACCCAACATTTAGAAGGATGTTCCCTTCCAATTTTTTTGAGCAGGGCCATATCATTCATGGATGATGGTAAATAGCATATCATTTCTGCTAGAATTTCTGCTCTTCCTTATGCTATGGGGTTGATACTTTAAGACTGTAGTAATGGTATTAGCAATAATTAAAATTTAAAAAACAGTAATACACACTAATATTTATCAAGCCCTTGCTCTGTGCCAGCCCTGTTCTGAGTGCTTTAAATGTATGAACTCATAATCCTCTCAAGAACCAAAGTTGGAATTTGAAACGAGGCAGTGCGACTGACTTCTCATCAGAAATCAGAGAGATGGGGAGGGAAGGCAAGAGCAATATACATAACCTTAACATTTGTACCCCCATATTATGCTGAAATAAAAAAAAAAGAAAAATCAGAGAGATGGTGAAGATGTTCTGTGGATGAAAGATATTCTGTGGGTAAAAGATGTTCTGTTATAGGGTCTGAGTCAGGCCCTAGGAAATCATCTAGTACAATCTGCTCATTTAACAGATGGAAAAACTAAGACCCTGAGAAGTTTTCTAATATGCTAAGAGTTACCCACGTCTGTAATAGACAGGGCTGTGACAGGGTGGTGTTCTTTCCATCTTAACTGCACTTTGTCTTTTAATTATATAAAAGTCTAATAGGAACATGGGGTGAAAGAAAGTAATGAAAAGAATATTTCTTTTTAGGGGCCATGCTCTTAATAAATATCTTATTTAGTCCCTATCTACCCTTTTAGGTAGATGTAATTATATCCATTTCTTTGGGGAGGAAAGGTAATAAGTGGTAGAACCCATCTTTAGACCCAGTACTCTTTAATCCCAAAGTTCATGACCTTTCAATGTACACCTCTAGGTTTGTTTATCTGATGCCAGTCCTACCCTTAAGCCTCTTCCTGAGGGAAAAAAAAGCTGCAAGGACCAATAATTCTCTTAGAAATTTTATTGCTGAAAGGGATCTTAGAGAGTATTTTTCTAACCCTCTCTTTTTATAAATGCAGACAGAGGAGATGTGTTGTCAAAGGTCAAAGAATAATTAGGGAAATAAGTCAGGTTAGAACCAGGTATTTCGCCTCTTGCCTCTGCGTTTTTGCTTTGGGTCAGGCTGAATGTTGCTGCCTATGGCTGCTGCCCCTTTTGTCATCAGGCATCCGGAGGAGAACTGTTACAAACATGCTCAGTTTCAGTGGTTATGTCTTTGGCATTTTACTTTTGTTTTGATGGGGAGTATAATCTGTAGAGGGAAACTGGATACTTTACTATATTTGGTGCTATGAATATATGGACAAATCTTATGAAACTATATCAATGAATAGCCTTCAAAAACCCCACAAAACTCAATACTAAGTTACTATCTAAAAACATGTTTATGTTCTTTTTAAAGGAGCAACTTAACATAAATGGTGTGAGGTCAACATAACTGATTTTTATGTTTGAATTCTGTTTAAATTTTCAGATCCTCATTGTCAATTCCATACCTTACTATTTTCTACATTCTTCGCTTAAAAAAATTCCTGTCTACCTAGGATAGACTGATAACTAGATACAACTTGGACCAAGAGGAGAAGGGAAAACAAACACTCCCCTTTGGCCTCTTAACTTTCCCAAACTTTGGTATTTTCGTGGTCATGTTAAAATGGGTCATATATAAGGATTAACGTGAAATAACATTTGTTGAAAGGACTTTAAAGTGCTAAACAAATGTAAGCTATCCTTATTATCACATTAATTGTAACCATGATATTGAGCATCACTGCTATTGCCCTTGGTCCAAGTTGTCTGTGTGATATATTTCACGAATCAAAAGTTAAATAAGGCAGAAGTGGCAAAACGTATCTTAGAAAGTTGAATGAGAGAAAGACTTCACAAGTGAGCATGTGTTCATCACACTCACACATTCAAGGAACTCCAAACAGTGGCTGAAGTGAGAGGTTGCTTGGAGTTCAGGGGCTGAGACAGATTGTTGGAGAGGTTTATAAAGACAAGACCATAGAGGATTGTGTGCTATACCATAGAAGTTTGGGCTTGAGTCTCTATAGATGGTGAGGAGCTGGTTAGAGGGAGGTAGCAATATCAGACGTTTTGCATTTTAGAGAGATTTTACAGGCCTCCTGGTAGAGGATGTTTGGGCCAGTGAGGTGCTGTTGAGGATATCAAACAAAATGTAGGGAGACCAGTTGGGTGACTCTGAGAGTCTTTGCTGAATTAGTAAAGGAAAAATTGATGCCTTCTCCAGTCCCAATCATACCCCACATTTTCTACACCCATTCCCCCAGGCTTAGCACATATCATATTTGTGTAACATATTACTATCTTACAGGACTTTGCCTAGGCACTTTCTCAGATGCAAATCCTTTACCTGGAGGCTGGTTCATTTTTCCTACCTATTGCTACATGATGATACTCTTTCTGCCTTAGTATTCACTGATCTTTTGGAATGTCATTGTGTTAATGACTCTGGGAATGAAGCTTTGCATGGCCATTGATACCTCTTGAGCAATGTGTCCTTCTGGGTTAGTGGAAAATATAATTATTATTGGAGGTTGTATTTTCCTTCTGCTTAGGAAAGAAATTCCTAGTGTTTTCCTGGGTACTATTAGAAATTACACTCCATTTTGGTCAGGTTGGAATATTGACTCACATGAATATATGTCCTATTTGTTCTCAGATGAATATTGAAGCTCTTCGGGAGAATCTTTATTTTCAGTCCAAAGAGAACCTTTCTGCAACATTAGAAGCTATCTTGGAACATACGGAGGACTTTACTGATTCTGCTTACACCAGCCATGAGCACAGGGAACGCATCTTGGAACTGTCAACTCAGACAAGAATGGAAGTGCAGCAGTTAATTTCTGTGTGGATTCAAGCTGTAAGACCTTTTTTTCATCAAAGTAATTCTATGTAATAGTTTTTCCCTAAAGCTTTGAGAGATACGGAGCTAACATAATCACCAAGGGTATGAATTTGGTCCAGGATGGGGCAAGGATGTATCATCCCTTTCTTCCCTCCTATTTGGCCAAACTATCCTTCCTGTCCACCTCTCACTGTACTTGACATTTCCAGGCTCACTGTTTCTCAACTGCCCAGTCTGGATTCTGTGCCTCTGTCATCAACATTAGTTGACCCTATTGTCCCCACTCTTCTACCAAACTCACCTCTGGAAAATTATTCTCTAAAATCCTTCTTCAGAGTGAAGAGCAGAGGAGTAGACCCCCACCTAGAGGTTCTTGGGACCTGAGTCTTATTGTCGGAGCCATTTAGATGTGCACAGTTCTTAACTCTGAGGACAACTGACTTATAGACACAATGCTTTAGAAAACTTATTGAGGTCTAGAGGCAGTGAAGACAAGGGTAGATCTAGCTACCCAAAGATATTTCACCTTTGCATAGATTCCTGGTCTCAAATTGGTGGGCAGCCACATCATGAGCCTTAAATAGGCAGCTGATGTGCTTAAACATAGGTGGTTATTGGAATAAGAGTGGCCAGTACTGACAGAAGTAGGCCAGCATAGGAAGTGTGTGCACAATCTCTTATAGAAGATGAATAGCAAAATTGAGAGACAGAGCCCTGGGACATTTCTCTGGCATCATTTATTTGTTTCCTAGGCCTAGGCTTTGTCAAAAAAGTATTTAACGTGGTTTATAACATACAGTAGAAATAGAGCAAATCTGAAATCCTTTGGCAGTAAGGACAAAAAAGGAGGGTGAATATGGTTGAGATTGGGACTTTCTTATAAATATATTGATTTATGAATGAAAGTAGACATGAATCACAGATTTCTCAGATATTTTCTTGGCATCAAAACAGTATAATGCTCATATTAATAGGGAATCTTGCCCTAGAGTAGAGTGATATAAGAGATTTGAGCAATATTTTGTGTTTAGTTGGAATTATCTGTGTGATATATAATCCAAGTGTAGATTGCTTCAATGTTAAATTTTGTTCTCAACATTCACTATAAATAGTTTCTTGTGGCCAGGCACTGTGGTTCATACCTGTAATCCTAGCACTTTGGTAGATGAGATGGGAGGATTGCTTGAGGCCAGGAGTTCAAGACCAGCCTGAGCATGAGCGAGACACCGTCTCTCACCAAATAGAGAAATTAGCTGGGCGTGGTGGCATGTGCCTGTAGTTCCAGCAACTTGGGAGGCTGAGGTGGGAGGATTGCTTGAGCCCAGGAGTTTGAGGTTACAGTGAGCTATGATGACACCACTCCACTTTAGCCCCGGATGATAGAGTGAGACCCTGTCTCAAAAAAAAAAAAGTTTCTTGTGATGAAATGCTCTGTGTCGGTAATTCGATTATATCAATACTTAAATTTGGCCAGTGGCTCACGCCTGTAATCCTACCACTCTGAAAGGCCGAGGTGGGTGGGTTGTTTGAGCTCAGGAGTTCGAGACTAGCCTGAGCAAGAGCAAACCCCGCCTTTACTAAAAAAATAGAAAGAAATTGGCTGGACAACTAAAAAAATATATATGTATATAAAAAATTAGGTAGGCATGAAGACACATGCCTGTAGTCTCAGCTACTCGGGAGGCTGAGGTAGGAGGATCACCTGAGCCCAGAAGTTTGAGGTTGCTGTGAGCTAGGCTGATGCCACAGCATTCTAGCCTGGGCAACAGAGTGAGACTTTGTCTTAAAAAAAAAAAAACCTTAAATTTGCAATTAGTACCCTTCACATATTTTGCAAGTGCTCAGATCTCTGATTCTACATGCCAGATATCTTTTTCATTCCTTCATTTTTTTTTTAGCAGTTGTTACTGAGTGCCTTTTATATGGCAGGCACCAGAAATCTAAAGATGAGTGAGACAAAGTCTTTGCCTGCAAGAATTTTACTATGTAGAAATCTATAGGAAGTTGTGAGAGAAGTATAAAAAGCTTTGAAAGTGTCCTAAGAGAAGGTATAGATTATGTGTTGAGAGGGTTTGAAGGAGGATGAAGTTATATTTAGGAAGAGGAGTCAAGAAAGCTTCATGAAGGTATTGACATTTAACGTTGATTTACTCATGCAAAGAACTGAATGCCAACTACCTGCCATTTGCTATGCCAGGTACTTGGATTCATTGGTGAATGAAATAGTGACGAGCCCAGCTTGCATGGAGCTCATATAGGCCTAGTGGGGAAGATAGACTTCAAACAAATGAACAAATAAAAATAACCCAAAAATAAATATGTAATTGCAAACTGGGATGATGGAGGGGTCCTCAAACTATGCCCCTTGGGCCACATGTGGCCCCTGAGGACATTTATCCTGCCTGCCGGGTGTTTTTGCCACCGCTACCTGTCCTGCTTAGCAGCTGACTTGTCCTGGGCCCACAGTGCGTGTGAGTGGACTGTGCGCCGCACTCTCCAATGGCCCTCCAACGGTCTGAGGGCCAGTGAACTGGCCCCCTGTTTAAAAAGTTTGAGGACCCCTGAGAGGAAAGATGAGTGCAGGTAAGAAGAGGGTCTAATTGAGATTGCGTGATCTGAGAAGGCCTTTTGAGAAGGAGACATTGTGTAAGGTCTTAAAGATGAATAGGATTTTAAATTTTATCTTGGTTAAGGGATGAACATTCTAGGCAGAAATAAAAGAGATTAGTTTTAGACATGATGAATTTATTAAAGAAAATTAGGTTTTAAAAGTTTACCTATTTATAGTTAGCATGGAAAAATGTAACTAAATAACTAAAATTTTATGTTTTACTCTATCCTTAAACAAGTAAATTTCAAAAATTACTACTTATTCTTCACAGAATGATATTAAAATTTATTGTAATTTATAGTTCAAATAAAATTGGAATTAACAGATTAAAAGATGAGGTAACACTACATATGTACTTTTTGAAATTTTTAGCAAAGCAAGAAAACAAAAAGCATTGCTGAAGAACTGGAACTCAGTATTTTGAAAATTGGTCACAGTCTTAATGAACTTAAGAAAGAAGTAAGTATAGTTTGAAATTTAGCCTCTTACAGTTCTTTGTAGATTTTCATGTTGTATGGTATGTATGAAATGCATTAGTGTTAGTATACCCATGTGCCTAGAAAATGGTTTTAAAAGTTTTCCTTTGACATAGTTATTTTGAAGCCACCATTTTATTAGAGCCATCATTTTCAAAGCTTGTACGTGAATATGCATAGCAGTTTTGTTCATACCAGCCAAAAACTGGATACAAGCCTAGATTTCTGTCAATATGAGAATTGATAAATGAATTTTGGAATAACTCTACCAAATATCATTTAGCAATAAGAATAATACTGATACATATAACAATATGGATGAATCAGTAAGATAGTATGCTGAGTGAAGGAAGCCAGGCACAAAAAAAGTATATATAAAATTCTATTTAGAAAAAAGTTCTAGAAAAGGCAAAAAATTATTTATAATGACAGAAATCAGATCGGTGGCTGCCTAGGGTCAGAAGTTGGGGTATATGTACTACAAAGGGAATGGTAAAACTTTTTGGAGTAATGGAAATATTTGGAATCTTAATTGCGGTAGTTACATGGCTGTATATGTTTATCAAAAGTCACCAAAGTGTACCTTTAAAATGAGGACATTTTGTTGTATATAAATTATACCTCACTAAAGTTGATTTTTAAAAATATTTTTTTGTTTGGGAAGATTTCTCTGTTTCCTGAATGAAAACTTGGTCCCCTTATGACTTACTTGGCCACTGTCAGGTAATTGGAAGTCCTGTGATCACTCTAAGTCAGGGATTCATAAACTATGATTGAGCTGTCTGCTTTTGTATGTAGAGTATTTTGGAACATAATCCTGCCCTTTTGTGTACACGTTGTCTGTCTACTGTTTTTGTACTACAACAACAGAGTTGAGTAGTTGTAATACAGCCTATGTGGCCTGAAAAGCCTGAAATATTTACTATCTGACCTTCTACAGATAAAGTTTGCCAATTCCTGCTTTGAGTCATAAAACCTAATCTCATTTCAAAAATTAGAATGTTCATTCCAATATATTAGTCAGTTTTTCAATATTCATTAAGTTGGAGGACTTCTCCCCTGTTCGCTACTTACCTAGAGCTTTTGGGGAAGATGTGGTCTCTTCTCTCTTTTTCACTCCCTTCCCCCTCTATTATGTAGCTGCTACTTATGATTTTTGCCAGGTTCTGGAACCAGGGAGAGAAGAGAGGAAGTTGGGAGACAGAAAGTTCTTAATGACCAGTGCTCTTATAAGATGGTTTGAGGCTTGGTAGACTTTTAAAGTTGACTTTCTCTCTCATGGGTACTTTAGTGTGTTCTTCAGATGCTTTCCTGTCCCCACCCACCAATGCCCATGTCATGTTGCTCCACTCCACTTTGAGGTGTGCCTAGAGGTGGAGCACCCATCAGCTCTCCAAACAAAACTGCCTCATGAAAACCTCACTTCTTCCTTAGCTCTAATTTCTTAATTCTTTTTTTTTTTTTTATTTTTGAAGAGGGTCAAGGACTGAAGAAAATGAAATTGGTTTTTGGAGTTTCTTAATAAATGGTATGCATGGTGATCTGTTTTACATTTTACTTGGTACTGATACCTCTATTGAAACCTCAATTTAAACATTCCATTAAAAATAGAAGAACATCGGCCGGGCGCGGTGGCTCAAGCCTGTAATCCTAGCTCTCTGGGAGGCCGAGGCGGGCGGATTGCTCGAGGTCGGGAGTTCAAAACCAGCCTGAGCAAGAGCGAGACCCCGTCTCTACTATAAATAGAAAGAAACTAATTGG